GTATATATATTGCTTATGAAATGTATATATTATTCTTTTCATTACTTCTTGTTTTACTTCTTCGTTCCCTCTTCAGGGATCTCCACAGTGAGTCACGATCATTAAAGGCAAAATAAATGACAAAAGCAAGTGGATTTTACTTCCAGCCACTGGCAAAGTCATTCCTCAAACTTTAACGGATTTAATTTTTTTATAATCGCTATTCTTTTATCCCTAATAGAGAGTATTGAAATGTTTTATTCAGGACCAAATTGAAGAAACCATACRTTTTGTCTTTAGGGAAACCTTTTTCAGGAATTTGTTGCAACATTTTTCTTTGAAAAGTAACCGTTTTCTTTTTAACATTCTTCTCTGAATATCTAACCCTTTTGTCTCAGCACTGCTACAGATGTGTTTTTCTTCCACTCCTCAGGCGGAGATAGGACCTGGAGCCTTGAACCTCACCGACTCATCTGTGGGGACGAGCAGCAGCCAGACTAACACTGGTAGGGCTCCAGCTCCGTCTGCTAGCAGTGCTTCCTCCCCAACAACAGGGGCCGCCTCGGGAGGCCGTCGCCCCACTTCTCCAGGACCCCCTGGCTCCAGGCCGCCTTCTAAAGGCACCCCGGGACGAGGAAAGAGCACCTGGAGGGTGGAGGACCTTGAGGGGGAACTTGAGAGGAAGATAAAAATGCTGGAGAAGGAGCGCCAGGCCATGAGGAAAGAGACCCAGGGCCAGCATGAGAAGATCGACAAGGGCATTGACACGGTTACCCACCGGGTCACAGAGCTGGAGCACAGTGAGTGTGTGGGAGAAAGCCGGGGGAGAGTAAACTGATACAYGCAGAGGAAGTGCATAATTGCATCATCAAGCTAACGCACTTATGAGCACTGAGAGAGAGGGCTGGAATGATCACTGTGGGCGAACTGGGTCAGCGCAGCAGTAGAGAATACACTCTAGATGAAAATAAGATGTTTAATGAGGGCTGAAGGTTATGAAATGTCAAACATAAATGGGGGGTGAATAAATAATACAGATGAAAATAAATTAAACTAAACTGTAATAATCTGGAAATATTTGCTGCTTGCTTTTAAAACCTAAATTATCATCTTTATTCGAGGTAATATTTTCTGCCCATTTTATAAATAAATTATCATCAGTGCTTTATAATCTGTGCAATATTATTTTGGCAAATGATTGCTTGGACTGCAATAAAGCACAGGCTATGATAGTTTGTGTGCTATGCATTTACGCTCTCCAYGCCAATAATTTCCTTTGGGCCAGTCAGATGACATCTGATCCTAGACAGAACTAAATAAATCATACAAGCAGCATTAAAAATACTTTTTAATGCGATCAAAGTTGATTCTCTCTCAGCCATTTTATCTCACTGCTTTTAAACGAGTAATAGAATGACTGCTGGACTAACTGTGCTAAAGAATTCCATTGATGTGATCCTCCAAAGAATAACACAATCAAATGCATTTTCACCAAAGGCCACATTATGGTGGCCTGAGACAGCCAGTTGTTATGCTATGTTTGAGCACTGCTAACAAACAACTGAGCTCTATGTAGTATTTTGTGCAGAGAAACAACATTTTAATTGGACCTCTCATAAACACTGAAAAGTACTATGTATACAACTGATTGAATGTGAAGTAAATAATACAGAAATACTAATAAAAATTAAAGTAAGAGAATTTTACTCATCGTTGAGCTGTTGAACTTCCCCACTTTCTGACAGGGAATTCACACTGGAGGGGTGTTCCAGTTTAAATTTACGACTTGTCAGTGGGAAATTCCTACATCCCAGTACATCTGGGTTACAGCAAAAGCGGCCAGTGAAGATGCAGTGAAATAGAGATTTTACACTGCGAATTTTGCTGGCTACTTTTGAATCCTGGGCACCTCCACCTAGTGGTGGGATACCATTATTTTCTTTACAAGTTTATAATGAATGTTGGTTTCAAAGCAGCATACACTTATTTTAAGACATTAATACATCTTTGAAGATCTCGCAGGCCACATAAAATGCTGTGGCRAGCCACAGTTGGCCTGGGGGAGTTTGACACACGTGCTCTAAATGTAAAATAGAAACTAAGAAATTGACCAAATATTTTCTTTTCAAATAGGATACATTTTTCTCTGGCAGCTCCTCCTTTAGCTATATTTATAATTAGTTTATGTACATAACCATCCAGAAGACAAGGAGCCAAACCATAAAGAATTTTATAATTCAGACAAACATTTATATATTTTACAGAGTTTTCCCAACAGAGGGGAGCATATTTCTCAAAAATATGAAAATAAATGTTTTCTAACAAAAAAAAAAGTGATTGTATGTATAGTGGTTACATAAGGTTCGAATTCAACCAACGTGACAAACAGTAACTAATATGAGACAGAAATACTGAAAGRAAATATATTTTTGCTGCCTCACATGAAAGTGAATCTCTAATAAAGTTTCTAAAGTTTACCAAACCGAACTTTACTTCTGAACACACTTTTTTGGTGAGTGGGTTCAAACTATCATTTAAATCTAGATATAAACCTAATTGTGTATATTCTGAGACAACTCCAATCTTTCTCCTGAAATGAAAACATCTGAGTCTATTTTTCTTCTGTGTTTCTTGGAGAAGAAGTTGATTTTACAACAATTTAAACATCTGTTAAACCAGCTTGTGACATTTTCCATAACAGCTGTTGGCTTGCTTGCCACCTCCTGTGTGACTTYACTCTGAGTCAAAATGACATCTGTGTATCAACACTCATATAGTCAAAAACAATATTGCAAATTATTTTTTCTAATTTCATGCAGTCCTAGTCATTTGCTGATCCCTATCCATTAAATGTAAATTTAAGAAGCTGTTTGTAAATGGATTTGAAGAAAAAGATGCAATATTAAATGATGGGCAAGTTGAAAAAGATTCTAGAGAAAACTTTAAGGCTGGTGTAGAAACACTTTTGCATGTTTTTCTGTTTGTCTTTGAACCTGAAAGTTGAAACATTTCCTACAGCAGGAGTTTGTTCCCAAACGTTTCCATGCCATGCCCCCCCTAGCCTGGTCCTTGCCTTCATAGTTCCGCTCAATTCTAGTTTCCCTTCACTGTTCCATTTGGGATTTCTCCCATAGACAAGGATTTCTTCAGCAGAATTTCGTTCGGGCCAATCAGAGAACAGAAGGCAGGGTTTTGAACGACAACATCGATTTTCTGTGCAGTGTCTGCTTGTAGTTTATTTTACCTGGGCCAATCAGCAAACAGAAGGAGGGGCTTTGAACGATATCAATTTTCTGTGCAGTGTCTGCTTGTAGTTTATTTTACCTGGGCCAATCAGCAAACAGAAGGCGGAGTTTTGAACAACGTTGATTTTCTGCACAGTGTCTGCTTGTGAGTTTAGCAATGGCAGTGGAGGAAGTGAATGAAGCCAGTCTGTGTTGACAAGGCTCCCAAATTAAATTAAATTGATTTTTTTCTGACAAAGCAGCAGCTCTCATTTACAGCCGTCTCGTTTGGCTCAGTAATTTTCTCCTCTCAGTAGGGTTGTTTACAGCACACGCGATTTCCAGTTAGCTTCTTAGCTTAGCCTCCTTCACAGTGACAACACACACATGCTTCAGCAGAGGCCACGCCTCCTGCAAGAAACGATTCTCTATGCAGTAAGTCCAGACCCTTGTACGAAGCAAAGTGAAGGACAGGGTCTGGTTTTAACCAGGCTACCTTCACAGCGGAGCTGGCACACATACGTCGCGACCAACTGATCCAATCATTTTAAACTTCAGCAGAGGCCACGCCTCCAGCAAGAATCACTTCTCTATAGCCGCAAGTCCAGACCCTCGTACAAAGGTTAGTAAAGGACAGGGTCTGGTTTTAACCAGGCTACCTTCACAGCGGAGCTGGCACACATACGTCGCGACCAACTGATCCAATCATTTTAAACTTCAGCAGAGGCCACGCCTCCAGCAAGAA